CTCCATTTGAGCCTGGGGAACTCAAGACCAAGGTTCCTAGTTTTGGCCTCACTCAGCTCCACAAAATGAGGATCTCTGTTCCCTTTACACCATCACAGAAAGTATCTCAGAAGGATAAGGGAAAGCAACCAGTTGCTAGTGCCTCTCGGACCCAGGATGAAGCCGAATCCACTGCTGCTCCATCTCATACCCCTGGTCCATCTTTTATGGAGAGGTCCCTCAGGGAAATGTTTCAGGCTGAGCTTCGTGCATTTGAGACCAGAGTCTACACTACTGCCAGAGACTATGGGGAAGTTTCTGACCGGAAGTTTGATGGCATTTCTAAGATTCTGGATCTTCACCAACAAGCCATGGTGGTTTTGGAAAAGAAGTCACTGAGAGGTTTAATTCAGTGGACAAGGAACTCCAAGAGCTTAAAGGCTTAGTTACCTCTCTCTGCCAGCACTTCACTCCACCTAGCACAAGCTTCAGCTATGAGGATCTCCTCTTCCATCCTCCCTCTCCACCACACCCTGAGCCTGCACCTCCTTCCTCTCCTTTACCTACTTCTCCTATTTCCACCACTTCTCCTTCTGTTCCATCTACTTCTACTTCTGTCCCTACTACTCTTGCTCTTATCACTGTACCTCACCCTGTTCCCTCCTTTCATTTTCCATCTATTTCTCCACTTCTTCCCCTTCCTCCTCTCCCTATTTCCCTGACCTTTCCCTCGGCTCCTACCCCTTCTGATGCTGACAAAAAGGGGGAGAAGAAAACTGATGATACTTCGTAGATTATATGGCTTTATGAGTTGCTTTTTATGGCTTTTTGGTTCCATGTCATGACGTTATATTATCTCTTTTGTGATTTTCTTTTGTGTATCTGGATAGTGCTTTTATCGATAATATGTTCTTGATATTTATCTGCCTTTTTATGCTTTTTAAGAATATGAAACTGTTTGATGTTCTCTCTGATAAATGACTCTTAACCTGTGTTTTGTCATCATCAAAAAGGGGGAGAATGTTAGGATTATAGTTTTGATGATAACAAAGTCAGAATTTCAGGGTTAAGTATTTTGATCGATAACGTGATCGAGCAATTAGTTATCGCTAAGGTTTCAGATAAATGATCAAGTATAAATCGGGTCTAAGGTAGTCTTTTTGATCGAAGAACTATTCGATGAATATTTTATCGATTAAGTGATCGATAATCGCTAGTATAAATATCACATAAGGGTATAGGAAATTATCGATAAGCTGATCGATAATATCAGGTAAACAATCGAGTTACTGATAAGAGACCCAAATCTGAAGTGTATTTATCGATCAAGTTATCGATAAATCAGTCATCAATAACGACTTCGATAAAAGGTAACACTCTGCACATTAGTTCTGTTACAAGTTTATCGATCATGTTTTCGATCATTTGTTTATCGATTACGTGTTCGAACTTTATGCTCTAACTCGTTAAATGCAGGAGATCAAATTCACTGATAGATCGATAATTTTATTGATCACAAAATTATCGATCACATGATCGATAATCAATGTCCTTTTTACTCCTACTCAGTTTTGCTACAGCTAAATTATCGATAACATTATCGATAATTTTGACTTGTTTGCTTAAATAAGTTTTCACATAACGTGATCGATAAAGAGTCTGAAAATTGACATATTTGCATTAAGTTATGGTGAACTATTTTTCGATCAAGTTATCGATCACTGGTTTTTCGATAAAATGTTCGATCATTTAAATTCCCGGAATTCATGTTTTTCACAAAACGTGATCGATAATCATTTCCTTTACCTTACAGGATTAAAATTCTTTCTTCACTATTATCGATCACTTGTTCGAATAGTTAATGATCGATAAGATGTTCGATCATTTCAAATAGCATGTGTCTTCCTTTGATTATTTACATAATCATGTTTTATCGATAATATTATCTATCATATATTTATCGATAAGATGTTCGATCATCAATGACTGAAGCTTCATTTTAATAACATCTAAATTATCGATAATCTGTTCGGTCAATTATATGATCGATCACTTGTTCGATCATGCAATGATTTCCTCTTTCTATGAAAATTCTTGGAGCCGATGATCCAACACTTGATCGATAACTTTAGTGATCTATTTCGAAAAGTCTTCATTCCGTTTATCGATAACTTGATCTATCATCAAGTAATCGATCATCTTTTCGATCAAACCAAACCGGAATGACACTCTGTTCTTGTTACTGATAAATGATCTCGTCACAAATCTTGAATGATAAATTAGCCTTCCTTCTGTATTCAAGGTTAAAGCACTCACCACAAAATTCTCACTTGTTCTAAGTTTGAAATATGCAGATTAATGAAAACGAGTGCAACGGCTCTTCAATGGGATTACGTAGACTGCGACCTACAGTGTCAGAAACTCAGACGCATTAATGGCGGAGCTGTTAAAACCAGTGAAACACGCAAACGAAGTCACAACGGCTAGAAGCCCTCCGTCTAACGGCTATTTAACGATATCAACTATAAAAGGCGCGAAGAGGCATTAATGAAGAGAATTGAATACCGGAGCTACCATCTGCTATTATTTAGTTACGCATTCAATACTCTGTTTTTCACTTTACTACTGAGCATCAGTGTTTATCATTGAATTCACTCTGTAAGAGAGCCATTCACTACTTTTATTAAAAACTTGAGAGACACTCAAGAGTGTGGACTCTTGAGAGGGGTTGTACCCTTACGGGAGTAAGGGGGAGTGATTGAGCGATTCAATTACTGTACCGAGGCACCAAGAGCCCTGTCGATCTTGGAAGATAGTGAAATACTCAGAGGTGTTCTGGGGACTGGAAGTAGGTCACGTGGATTAGACCGAACCAGTATAAATCTTGTGTCTCCTCTCTGCGGTTAAAATTCTCCTTACTCTGACTCCCTGGTTTTATTAATATTTGCACGCCTTTAGTTTTAAATTTTTGTAACTCACCCAATTCACCCCCCTCTTGGGTGAGATTGTTTCTAACAAATTTTACTTACCCATAATGATTCATATATAAATAAAAATATATACTTTTTACTTGCCAAAAAAACAATGAGAGAGAGGAGTAAAAAAAAAAAATCCCAAAGCAAGTTGTTTGAATGTGATGCGCATAAGTTGGAACTTGGAAGAACAATATAATATTCTTCCGATCCATGAAGAAGCTCCATGCACGATGCTCAAAATTAGAACAAGTCCATAACTTTACAGCCTATATACAGAGATATTGCACAAGATTAATGGGATTAATTCCTAAAACAAAAAAAGAATATAGGGAAAATTGCAAATAAAGACTCCTCAATATATAAAATAGCAATTAGGGACCCTAAATTTGACAAATTGCTCACAACGACCCGGTCCCAATTTGCAATTATGAAATCATGACCAAATTACCAAAATACCCCTCTTTAATTTTTTTTTTTTTCAAAAAAGAACACCACTGCCTCTCCGGAATCCGGCCGCCGGCGCCGGACCCTGAATTTGACAAATTGCTCACAAGGACCCGGTCCCAATTTGGAAATAACAAGTTCTTATTATAAAATAACAAGTTCGGGATTAAAATCCAAATGTATTGTTGTTATCACCTGAAAAAGAGTGTATTGTTATAAAAAAAACGTGTTGTTAAATTTTAATCCCAGACTTGTTATTTTATAATCAGAACTTGTTATTTTCAAATGTATTGTTGTTATCACCTGCAACAGAGTGTGTTGTTATAAAAAAAAAGTGTTGTTAAATTTTAATCTCAGACTTGTTATTTTATAATCAGAACTTGTTATTTTCAAATGTATTCTTGTTATCACCTGGAACAAGAGTAAATAAGTTAACTTATATTTTTTTTTGTATTATAATGTTAGCAAAAATTTGTTGGCTCAATGGTCATTCCTAATTTTGGGAAGCATGAGGTTGGGGGATCAAATCCCCCCAACCTCACTTCCCCCCAATTTAAAAAAAAAAACAGTTTAAAAAAAAAAAAATAAAGGAAGGCCACCGGAATCCGGCCGCCGGCATCGGAGCTCCAACGGCCGAGGTGGCGGAGCTCCGGCGACCGGCGGCTGAGGTGGCGGAGCTCCGGCGGCCGGATTCCAGCGAGGCAGTGGTGTTCTTTTTTGAAAAAAAAATTAAAGAGGGGTATTTTGGTAATTTGGCCATGATTTCATAATTGCAAATTGGGACCGGGTCCTTGTGAGCAATTTGTCAAATTCAGGGTCCCTGATTGCTATTTTATATATTGAGGGGTTTTTATTTGCAATTTTTCTAAGAATATATATATATATAAACTCAGAATCTGATTGATAATCATGAAGTAGTAGTGCGATGCACCTGTATTAACGCCGTAAGCACATGGTACGAGGTGGTCATGTTATCAGAAATCATTGTCCTTTCTCACACCTTTTACTATTTCTAATTTGGAATCATGATTATATTCGAGAGACCATATATATAGATATGTACTTTTTGATGCTTGGATTTACATATATGCGTATGTTTTAAAGAAATGATACGGTTTTTGATTCGGACCCTCCACATTCAATAAAATAAATACGTAAGTACATGTAGAGCCTTTTTATTCGGAAAAAAATACGTAGACATTTTGTTATTTTGTGCTCGAACGTTTTGTTACATGACTTGGAAATTCGAACCATCCACCTACCCACCTTGAAGATTAATGGAGGCTGCATGTGAGTTTCTGTACAGGTCACATGCCCAACAATAATGACCCAAAAATCATATTCCTCCATGGCAACAATATATATATATATATATATTATGATTGATACTTTGATTCTATTATCTGAGTTCCAATAATATATATATTTACTAACCACATGATAAGATTAGTTCTGATTATGAGCTTAACTTTGTACTAGCTCAGCTTTTAAATTAAATCATACATAAGTACGTTTACGCCCAATTAAGATATTGATTGATCCTAGCTAGTTATATTTTCTAAGCTAATTAGCAATGTCAAATCTCAATTAATCAATGTGAGTTTCTTTTGGATTCTCATGTCACATGATATTGTTCTAAATTTCTAATTAATTTAATTTTCTGCATTGTGTTTCTCCGATCGATCCTGTTTATAATTAAGGCTATAATTCTACGCTCTATCTTAAAAAATTGTGGGCAATGTAAATTACTACCTCCAATTTCTAGTATGAACCTATTTAATTAATTTTAGTAGATTAAGAAAACTAGTTAAATTAGTTACTAGTGTTGATTTTTTTAAAATATCTTTTAAAATCATTCAATGCAAACTTCATTAATATGTGTAATAAATAGGGGTAAGTTCAAAAAATAATAATAAGTATGAGAAGTAAAATGGATTGAGTTTTTGTATTTAGGGATCAAACTCAATTTTCTAGTTAGCCCTTATATTTAAAATCCAAGACAGTAATAACAATCAAATTATGTAGACTACACATTAATATTGACCGATTTGACATAATCACGCTTTAGAAAACTATGAAAAAGAAGTAAATTAGGCATAATTATGATATTCTCTTAAACGATAAACAAAGAAGGGGGACCGGTTTAATTTTCGCTGTGAGGGTCAAATTCGCAGCCGGCCGGGGTTATTCACATAAATTAAATTGCCACACCTCTTTACTGATAAATTCTCTATGTAAATGCTTTTATTTTTTTCACCTAAAAATTTATTAATTTCTTACAATTTTTCAAAAAATAATTCTATATAACATTCCAGTAGTTTTAAATTAAGTAATTTATTGCTTTATTTAAATATCATCATTTAACTTGTAAATCTTTTACAAGGGACGCAAGCAATGGCTCCTTTTTCTTTTCGCTCGATTTCTGTCTGGCCCAGTGGGAGAAGCCCATGCTCATACCTAACCCAATACGTGAGTGGTTTAGTCCAAGATTATTCTTGTTGGGCTCAATAAAAAGCCTATCAGAATTTTTGCTAAAAAAAAGTTCCTATTACTAATAGAGCTGAGTCTAAAGGAAGGATTTTTCTTATATTGAAAAAGATACTGACATTTAATATTCGATAATGTTTTGAATAAAATTGACTCTAATAAAAAATGTTGAATACACATGCCTGGAAAAAAAAATGAAAAGTTCCTATTGAGAAGGGAGAAGTAGGAATTGCTAAGCTACATGGATTCATTCACTAATTCTCAAATTGAGGACCAAATAATTCATTACATTATAGTTTAAATATGCCTTAGCTTAAGCTCTCCTTTTTTTTTTATTAATTAGAAATGGATATCTCTTCTAATAGAGATTCAAACCTTAGTTTTCTACATTGTGAGAAACTAGTTCTTTTTATTAGATTCAATCCCGTTAGTTTAAGCTCACCCTTTTATTTAGAAGACAATTTTTATTTTTAACATGCCGGGCCATTCATTAAATCTAACGGTCCAAAATTAATTCTTTGGGAAACTCCAGGAAGACTATCCACTACGGGATCTTTTTTCCCCGAGCTGCCGCGAAACCAAAATACGGAGGGTTTATGCCTCGGGAGCTCGCCTCGCCACAGCAAGGGAAGCAAACTCACAGAATCAGGTAAAACATCACAAAGTCTCGTCTTTTTTATTTCTTCTTCTCACTCCATGCCATCCTTCTCACAGATGATACTTCTTTTAGTCTTGTTCAAGGAAATAAAGGAAAGCTCAAAAGGTATTGTCTGAGGTTTTGTTCATGTATTTGTTACTACTGGATTACATTTTAAGCATACAGTAATATGTAAAACCCTGAGCTTAGCAGCATCAGGGATCATTGTGGGTTTCTTCTCTTGTCCTCTCTATGAAGGCTTCACAAGAATGAAACGAAACAGCCGGAAGAGAGTTGAAATATTGGAGAAAGGGAGGGAGAGAGCTGCATTGCTGACCCGGCTTTGTTGACTGGAGGTTTTATAGTAAATAGGTTGCTTTTTATGTGTGAATCCATTAATGATGAAAGAAGTTCATGCTTTTTGGTATAGAATCCTCCGCCCGGCCCCGGTTATTCCGTTTGAGGTGTTAGATTTCAAGTTGGGGTATAAGTGAGTATGAATAAGATCCAAGAAGAATTGCTATGAGGTCCCAAGAAGGAAAAATAATTACCGAAAGTCCCTATAACAACTGAGGAGCTACTTTTTAGTCATTATAATTGCAATTCTCCTAAGTTCTATAAATTCTCTCTTCAGAGTTGATTAACTAATTGGAAATAAGTTGTGACACTCTACTGTAAATATTTCTGCAAATCCTGATGTTCCTGCTGTTCTTTAGTGTATCGTGTTGGAGCAGTTGTACACATTTTCAAGTTTGTTTCTTTGGCCTTACATATCTTATGGGTTATTCCCTACGTTATTGACAATTATAAAGCAACCTTGTCACTCTTGCTGCTGTGCATGGGGTAGGAAGCTATTATATATGTGTGTGAATGCACACGCTGGGTTTACATTCAGCATATGTTCATGAAATTCATTTTTCAGAATGCTGTCCATGAATTTGCGGGGTCTGTCAATTTTGGATCTTGGTCCTGTTCTTATCGGGGTGCGATGGTTTTAAGTGTTGATGTGTCATTTTTTATTGGCCACTTTATGAAATAAACACTTAATGATGGGTTTTGCTTATTTGCTTGAGCTTGTTATGCCTCTGATTTTGTAGCGACAGCATCCTTTAACGTAAATTGAGTTGAAAATTTGGGGAATAACTTTTGTATTTGTGGCCAAGTTATGGTTTCCTTGCTTGATTTTTCAACAACAACATGCTTATGCCATTTGTTTTTAATTTGTTAATCAATTTCTCACAGTCAGGCTTTCTTATTTTCTCTGAAGTTTTATTAAGTTGCTCTAACTGAGCTGATCTTCTTGCTTTTCAGGATTACTGAGTACGTGTTTAGGCTGAACTTTACATGATGATCTTCATATAGGTCCATTGGTAGCTCACCCTTGGTTCTAGAGCTTTCTTTCCCTTGCAACACCATGATTTTTCTCATTATGTCCTCAATTACATCTGGTAAGTTATCTCTTTCCCTTGTGCGTGCGTGCACACACTTGTTTGTGTTGATAAGTAAATTTTTTAACCAGAACAATGCTCTGTCAATGTACAGGTTATATCTTCCAAACATAAAACATTTTGTGCCTCTGCAATTCCCTCTGGACTTTGAGGTGTAAGAGTTCTGAGTTTCTGTTCCTGTCATGCTTTGACAATACAAGATCCATAGGTCAATCTGGTCTCATGACTAACGGTAACCAGCAACAGCTTCCCTTGCCAAACAATAATCTGGGCATACAAACCCGCCCTCCATTGGGTGCAGGAATCCTCCAAAACATGAATCCCTTTATGACCAATATGCAGCCAATGGTCAATCCACTTCCTTTCATGCATGCTGCTAATAATTTTCATCCATTGCAAAACAATCAGCTGGTTCCACCTCATTTGACCTTGCTTGGTCAGCAGAATGGTGTTGGCAATATGAATTGCAATCCACTGTTTCCCGCTCAGGGACAAAACATGGTGAATGGAGGTCAATTTAATTTGTCTCAGGCCCAGGGGCATATTTTAGCACAAAATATTGCGAGTTTGCTTCAGCAAAATAACATGAATATGCAAAATGGACAATTTTGTGCTCCGTTGCCCCTGCAAAATATGAATCAACAGTTACCTATGCAGGTCTCAAACCCAGCTCAAGTTATTCCATATGGTATGCCTCCAGGTTCCCATCCTATGTGCAGCTTTCCAAACCAAGTGCCTCAAGCTATGATTCCTCAAACTCCATTTTCTTCTGCACCTATGCAGTTAAATAATGTGCCTGGAAACCAAGTGCCTCAGGCTATGGTTCCTCAAAATCCATTTTGTTCCGCAAATCTGCCATTAAATCATGTGCCTGGAAACCAGGTTAGGCCACAGTTTAACCAGAATGAGAAAAACATGTTCTCACCTGGAAAAACAAATGCTTTCACATCATCGCCTTTTGCATCTCAGCAGTTGGAGGGGAACACTCGGGCACCACCTAATCCTAATGGTTTGAAGCAACTGCATGCAAAACACTCCCAACCTGCATTTTCAAATTCTCAGGTAGCCTCTTTCTCTCTATTAAATACAATAATCACCACTTTTTTCCAGTCATATATTCTGCTCAGCCGCATGTACTATAGTAAAATAGTGGTGGCTATTGTTTTTAGTATGAATCTGATTATTGCAGGCAAATCCTATGAACAATGTCAAAGCTAATGCTCCAAACCCTAATTGGAAAGGTTCACTGAGCAAAAACTTAAAAAATAATCCAAATCGAGGGAGATTTCAAGGAGGGTACGCAGCTGTCTTCTTTCATTCCTCTTAATTTATTTTGTTTACACATGATGATATGCATCATTTGACCAAACGAAAATCTACATCCCTTTGATGTAGGTTTCAAAAGTCCAAGTTTCATGATATCAACAAAGGAAAGAAGAAATTTGGGACTCCAAAAGAACATCGGCCCAAAGGTTTGAATTTCTTTACCTTCTTACAAAGGCAAATGCCTATTTTGCTTTGAGATGGTTGTTAATAGCCTGCTATGTTGCCATGCTGCATGCAGAGCCTTGCAAATATAGCTCTGCTACAGGTTGTAAGACTCCAACTTCCCCTGTATTCTTCTGTAATTACTTTATCAATTTGTTGTTTGCTTTTCATCAAATTTCAACAATTATTCAATGTCAATAATGGAGCGGAAATTTGAAAGTTATATTAAAAAACTAAAGACGGTCACTTAAGCTGTGGTTTTATATGATATGCTGAATTTATGATTGGTTTTTAGTCCTTCGTGTTCCAAGGGTGCTATTAGTATGAACAATTAACTTAATATTGGTTGAACAAACAGGGTTCAACAATGAGAAGGTGGGAAATTCTGGCTCTAACTATAAGGAACAGAACAAGGAACTGAAAAGGTAGTTGTTGCCAGTCTTTTTAATTTATATTCATCTGCAGAACCACCAAATCAAAATTTTTATGCTTGCACGTTACATATAAGTTCACTGTCTATTATATTATGCTCTCTAACTACCATTTGAATCTGTCCCCAAGCTTGAAAAGCTACATATCAAGTCCTGAAATCGAATAAAATTTTTCATTCCAATATCTAGTCAATCAATAAGGTTTAGACCATTCTTGATGTTGGCAGTATATTTTAAGATTTCAGATGCCTTCATTTCCTATAGAAGATGAAAAATATTTGTTCTCTTTTGGGAACAAATTTAAAGATTAGAAATCAAGTCTGCTTTCTCTCTTGGTTTGACAACTTCATTTTCTCTTTCAACAACTTTCTAAAACATTGTGTTTCTTAGTGTATGACACATCATTTTCTATTAACATCATCTGACTCTCGAACCTTGATTTTGTATCTGATCAATGTTGGGTTGTTTCTCAAATTGTTAGATCTTTGTCAGTGATATACACTGACCAAGAAATCCAGCAGTGGCGTGAAGCAAGGAAGAAGAACTACCCTACCAAAGGCAACATTCAAAAGGTTAAATGAACTTCTTTATTTATTTCAATTTTATTTATCGAAAGCTGTTGTCTAAGATTTGAAATACTACCTGCAGAAGCAGAAGGAGCAACAAAGTGCATTGAAGGTCACTGATAGGGAGGTTTTCCGAAGAGAGGTATATTGTTTCATAGTTATATGCGCAAATTATTGGTGCTCTTTTACATTTACATTATTGGTCTCACTTTCAGCGACTAACCTAGAAGTTTGTGATTTCGCGAGTCCTTCCCAGTTGACATGCCTAATTGTTAAAGATTAGCTATGTTACCTGATTCATATGAACAGAGAAACAATTTTTACACCGAAAACCAGAAGATATTAATCTGAGGCATCAACTGTGGATCATAAAATTTGCAAATGAAGATCCCTTTTCCCAGAAGAGTCGAGCTTTTTCACCTGAAGACAATATTCCAGGGAAATGATATTTCCAAATTTAATAGTGTGGTTCAACTGAATTGTTTTGTAGCTAACGCTCCCTTGGTTTGGCTTTTCTCCATTTCTAGCATGAAATCAAAGTGAAAATAGACATATCTTTTCCTGGTTCCTAAGTAGTATTTGAACTCGTTGGTAATATATTAAATTTTTGTTTGTGGCAGCTCAAGGAGATTTTAGCAAAGCAAGCTGAGTTAGGGGTTGAAGTTGCTGAAATACCATCTTACTATCTGAAGGATTCTACAACAAAGGGTTTTGAGGGTGGAGAGAAAAGGAATTCCTGTAACAAAAGAAAATTCAAAAACAAGTTTGACAAAAGAACAGACAGAAAAGGTAGGTATTCCAAGAAGCAGAAATTTGCAAACAAAGATGTGGCGCCAGACCCTTCATCAGACAAGAGAAGTCCAACTTTGTTGCAAAAACTATTGAGTGCAGATATAAAGAGGGATAAGAGCCATTTATTTCAGGCTTTCAGGTTCATGGTAATGAATTCCTTTTTCCAAGAATGGCCTGACAAGCCACTTAGATATCCATCTGTTATGGTCAAAGAAAATGGTCCTGAAGGTGGTGATCAAGACCTTGTGAACTTGATAAATGACAAACGCGGTGATGTTATTGAAGATGGAGATTGTGATGATAATAAAAATGACTGTATAGAGCAAGTCAATCCGCAAGAGGAATGTCCTGATGGAGAATTTGAAGAATCTGAAGAGGAAGGTGAAATTGTAGATTGAACTCCATGATGCTATATCTTTGGTTCTAGCATTAAAGATTTTGACTATAAGCTCTGCTATATATTGTTCATCTAGTTTAGTAGATTTCATATCTCGAACACCTCTCTATTTTTGCCTGGAGGGACATGAACAGCTCGTTGTCTACCTTTGGAATTTTATGATAGGTGCGCGTAAATATAGAATCTTTTTTTTTTTTTAAAGAAAAAAAAGTGCTTAAAATAACATAGGGAATTCATAGGGTTTAAGAAAATTGGGTTGGCCGTTATGCCAGTCTAAGCACCGACTCAGTTTAATAGTAAGGCTAGAGTTTAAAATTGTAGTTGAACAGGGTACGAGTAAATTAATACTACCTCCGCTCTTAAATATAAGAGTTAATTGATTAATTTGAGGAGATTAATGAAATAAGTTAAGTTAGTTATTTATAATAAATAAGTGTTATCTTTCTTAAAATATCCTTGTTAATTAAATGTATTGATTATAACTATTATTATTAGAAGAGTTATCTTTAAAAAAAATAGATAAATATGAGAGATAAAGTGGATTGGGGTTTTATATTTAGGACTAAAATAAAAATAAAAAAGTCGTATATTAAGGACAAGAGGTAGTATATTTTAAATAATGTATGCTTAATATAAAACTAAATGATTATCTATAGTCATAAAAATGAGCATTTTTTCCGGCATACGATTGTCATTTTTTTTTAATAAAAATTGTCATTTAAATTCAAAGGAAAATAATATGCAGTTAAAAAGAGGCCGTAATACTTGATAAATAAAACATGACTAATTTGACCAATTGGCCCATTGATTGGGCTGAGTTATGGCCGAGTTAGACATAGGACCGATTTAATCAAGCAAATCGGCAAGGCCTGATTCTCGTAAAATTATTTCTCCCTGCTCATGTTTCCGCTGCTCCTCTAGTTCCTATTTATAAGGTAGAGAAGAAATTTTTTGATCATATTTATGAAGTGAAGAGCAAAATTTTTCCTATAAATATATAATTTTACCCTTTATTTATTCTTATATTGATATTGTTTTTATGAGATATATAATATATATTAAATAGGAATAAATTTAGAAAATTATTGAATTTTAATGTAGAGTTAATAGAATTTAAAGTTTTTCTTAGTTTACATAAAATATGTTGAAAGTGACTTGTAAACATAACGAGAGGAATATTCATTAATGTTGTAGTGAGTGTACTATTCCATGGATAAGCCGAGTGTGGTGCTCGATGGGTAAACACACAGGGTAGTTCTTTAGGATATTCAAATGTTTTTTTTTAAATGATTCTGCATATCCATTTTTTTAAAATTAATTGACAAGAAGGGGATTGAGCATTATATTATATTATTTTCCTAAAGCACGGCACTGCAAACCTGGGTTACTAAACTAGTAGCGCACACAATTGTTTGAGATCCAGTACAATTTGTGTTATGTTCGTTTTTCGAAGACATTCTTTCTGTTTACAGGACTCAAATTAAAGATCTCATATTTAAATATTCACAGCCCCTTTCAATAAGATGGCACTCCTTGGCAAAGAGAAGCTCTTCAAAATAAGCAGTTTCAATATAAAATAAAAATGATAATAGTTAACAATTAAATGATGGTAGGGAATGTGCCGTCCGATTCCCACAAAAGAAGCGTACCTTTCCCTCAGCTAATGATGCGAACTGATCTATATTACACCGGCCGGTCAATAAATTCCCACACAAAACTTTGGAACCGTGACTTCCAAAAAAGACCTATGGAAAATTAATAATATGGAGCCAATGAATGAGAACAAACGTTACAAAATTCTCAGAGAATATATTCAAGATGCGCCACTAAGCTTTGCTTTTAGTCTTTGATCCTTGCTTCTTTTGTTTCTTGTACTGTTTATAAAGCTCAAGAGACAGCGTAGTCTTCTCCAACCCCCTTCTCAACCTTTCATTCTCCTTAATGTCGTGTAGAAGCATAAAATGAGAAGCAAGTTTCTTCCTTAGCTCATCCTCATCAAATGGACTTGAATCTGCTGTAGATCCAATTGAAGGGGATGGGGGGGCTCCATTTGCTCTTTTCCTCTTGCTATTTAGCTTTACGCTGCCAGTTTGTGGTGAAACTTGTTCTTGTTCAAGGGACATGTCCTTGAAAGCTTGTTGAGGAGAAATGTTGGAGAGAAAAACTTGGTTATGAGCGGTACTCATGGTTGAAATGCCAGAGGCAATTGTGGATATAGCTGGATGATAATGCTTGGATAGAAGATTGAGGTCCCACAATACTGAGGCGAGAGCGCCACTTAAACTGGGGTCTGTGGAATTTGGTTGATATTTCTGCAAAACACAGCAACATGGTCGGTGATAATAGCACTAGCATTAAAAAAAAAAAAAAAAGGAACTGAGGATTATGATGGTCTTGGCTAAAAAGGATTATAAAATGGAATTCACAAAGTCTTGCATTTTAACATCAATAGCCTTTGCCCATGAAATCCATATCCAGTTTCTTCCAGAAATAAGATACGAATAAAAGATACTTAAAGAAGAATAATGCAACAGTCAAGTAGTCAACAGTAAGATACAGCCAAAATCTAGAATCTACAAACAAGGAAGGTTCCCTTGGTAGAAGTCATATAACTGCATTACAACTTCCTTTTAATAACACGTCCGTCTTTCACTTCTCCAAAAATGTGTTCCATAAGAGTATCCTCGTAAGTGCCAACAAATAACAGATAAAATTAAGAAGCTTACCGGAATCGTGCCTGCAATAGAGCCTCCTCCAGTGTCATTTTCCAACAGATTTCTGCACTTTACGTTCTTCTGAAGGAGATGCTTCACTGTGACTAAGGCTGAAAAAATTCAGAAGGATAACGAGATGTCACACTTCTGGTTCTTCGTGAATTAAGTAATGTATTTGTGCCAGTTCATGTGTTTCATGGGGTTAAAGACAACAAAAACATACCAGCCATGGACTCTGGAGATCCGAAACACAATGAAATTGTAGCCAAACGTTTTATAAATGCAGCAGTCTTTTGCATGTCATGCTGCTTATCTTCACACAACATTATCTTCAACGCTTCTGCTAACACCTCTCCTTGATCTCTGTTTCATATAAGAGAAAAGAAACCCAGAAAGATTTAAACACTGAACAAGGCAGAAGAATTTGCTAATGCTGTGAAAAGAAGTTGACCGGTCCAAATACTCCTTTATGTTACCATGATTCCTTTGAAGGCACATGAATAAAGCGTGTACTATCATGCATAATATACACAATGAAGTATTAATTAATTTTCCACGCAAATTATATTAGGCCACTGACGTAAACGCTCTATCCTGCATGTCCTGGCAATATCTAGAAATGGGAAAATATTAACCATTACAACAGTGAATTTTGGGAGATTGGCATTCGGGCAAACCTTCCTGGCCTGTATTCAAGTAAAAGATTGTAAAGATGGACAAAGAAGTCTTGTAAATCAACATTCAAGGCGTCAAGATTGTTCCTCATCACTTTAAAAGCAACAATGCAGCATTGGAGACGCTCAGATACAGTCAAACATTTAGGAGACTTCTCAGAACCGTTGCCTGAGTTGCTACCACTAGAAGCAAGCTTTTTCAGATGGATCAAAAGATCATTCATGAAATCAAGGTCAATCAGATGCGAAAATTTTCCCAGTCCTTTTAGACATGGAGCAAGCAATGAGTGGGATCCAATTGCATCAGATGATGTCCCGGAATTTGCCTCGGGTCTAAGCCAAAAAAAGAGCAGAGATCATCAATATCCTAGACAGAAACAGAAAGATTCACATCCATATGATATCAAAGCCTCAATGAAACACAAAATACAAGTTATATGAACAAACCTCACAGCTGTGGACTCCATTGTGTGCTTTAAAACACGAAAATATGTCTCAAACACTGCAGAGAGTGTTTCAGATTGCATTTGTCTCTGCTCCATAACATCTGGTGTAAAAGATGCAGCCTTGTAATCAGCTTCAACCTACAAAAAGCATTGCTCTATTAACATAAATCAAGGATATGCTTAGCCAGAGCAATCAAAAGTAGGTCATTCTTGAGGATGAAAAATACCTCCTCTCTCATCTTTGATATCAATTCATGCTTACTTTTCTTTCTTTCGTTCTGTTGCAGCTGATTTGGTGCATCCACATTTTTTCTTTTCTTATTTTTCTTGTTTCTCGCTTTATGATCATTATCTGTCTTTTCAGACTTCCTTAGATCCTCATCAAATGAAAGAGACAGGAAAACCTGGAGAAGGATTCAAAATAATGAACAAACAGAAAAAGATCAAAAAGATATCAAACGACTAAATGCCAGAGGTAAAACTCTCCCTGAAAATGGGTTTAACCCAATAAAATTTTTGACCATATAGAATGCAATAGCAACTTGATCAGCAAAGCAGAAAATCAACCAAGTGAAGACACCAACCAAAAAAAAAAAAAAAAAGGGAATAGGTGGGAACTATAACCTCAATGGATTCAGGATGTAGTTGGCAATTATTAGCTTTAACTTGATCAGCAATCAACCGAACAGCCTCTACAGTAGCTTCACCACCATGTTTACCCCCATTTGTAAATAGTGACTTAATTGTAGAACAACAGAGTTTTCTGTTAATCATGCAAATGAAATTTAATTAGCCACATAAATGGCAATATACAATGCAAACAAACCCAGAAATTCTTTTTTTTAAAAAAAAAAAAAAAAAAACAAATACCAAAAACGAGTTCATTCTCTAAGCAAGAAAATTCATGATACCCAATAGAAATTATTTCCTACAACATTCAGGGGTCACTTCAGTTATATAGAATCGCTAAGAATTGGGACAGCGAGGGAGGGCTCATAAAAAATTGCACATGGAACATGATTTTTGATAAATCTAATATCTAACTTTTTACTCGAGTTCTTCTTCTGCTTTATCAAAACTAAACTTAAATTATCTTATACATTTGAAATATTTTTTCTATGCATGTATAATGTAAAATTACTGCCAATAGAAAAACACATTGAACATGTAAATGTTTTCAATGATTACAGCTTTATGGGATAGTTCGAGGCCTTTATTAAACTTCCCGATACTGCTTTCATCTCAAGGAATTAACTGTGAAACAAACACAAGATAATTACTATCCTTCTTATGTCCTATATTAATGACCTGATGGTATATTTACTTGGCCAATGTTTCCTGGTTGCTTCTCTGAGGCCAGCAGTCTC